TATGAATATGAATCTACCATCAGCAGGTTTAAATGATGGCAAGAAGAACTCTCACACTTTGCAGTTAGTGTCATTCTTCCACATCTTTGTCTCCATCAGAGGACTCAACAACTGTGAACTCATTATTAGATTTGTTCATAGCTGTCACATCAGCTTGGCATCCTAGAAGGATTTTATTTTCACCTAGAAATGTATAAAATACTCTGATATTCGTACATATATAGGAGTTATTGCTGGAAAAAAATTATTATAACTTCCTTGCAGACAGTGAAAATTTAGGAAGCCATTGGGCTGAATTGAGCCCTAGAGGCAGTGAATCCATCTTCTTTGGCATAAATTAAATTATGCCTGTGTTATGCACGCCCCATTGTGTCAGCTAGTTACAGGACTGAATGATTACCCTCCACAGTCCCTGGCATGACCTGCAGGGCTTTCAGACTTTTCCTGAATGGCGTTTTCTGAAGTCCTGTTCTTGTAGTCCAGTGCCTGGATTTTAGACAACCATTTCTCCATCAGGTCTGCAAATCTTTTTCTTCTTACTTGCAGATACAGAACTCTGCAGTTTTACAATATCAGAATTTCAGTGACTCTGTAAAATCACTACCTTGCTCAGTGCTGGACACTTAACCTACTTCTCCAGCTTGCAGTTTAGTTCAGCAGGAAGCTTAGCATGCTTTAGTATCCCTTTCTCAACAAAGAAGTTGAAGAGGATGGAGTGCTCCATATAATTTATGCAAGATTTCTTCAGATAATTGATAGACTGCTATAAAAGGGGATCGTGTTTCTTTCTCTGTGGTCTGGAATTGTTGTTGCAATGTGGTGCCTCCAGGCAGACAGGATATTTGGGCTGATCACAACTGCAGTATTATTTGACAATTTATACCCATTGATCTTTGTATTGAAAACAAGGAAAAATATATTTATTCAGTTAGTACAACACATAGCAACCATCAGACCAGTTGTCCAGACTCTGAGTACTCTGTGGATAATATAGGACAACCATGAAGAACCCAAAGTTAACACATCTGGTTTTGAAGGACAAGTAAGTCCACACTAGAAATAGCAGATGAAATAGTGAGCAGTTTGAAGTTACTTAAAATGTATGAGATATTAGATTACTGTTGGCTATGCAAAGAGCTCTTTTTTTCCAAAGAAATTTATTGCTTCTAATGTATCATGTGCAAGGGATATGATAACATTCCAATAACCTTCATCAGACATGGTAAATCTGAAACAGATTGTAGTTGAGATAATTCTTGAACATCAGTTATTGCTTCCCAGCACAATGGCTCCAATACTCCAATGCTGTCTTTAAAGAGTCTAAGCGTCCCTTACAACTTTAGGGATGGATGTTTTACGGTTCATTTTGGAGGATTTCTTCCCTCGGTGTCTGGAAATTCCTCTAAAAGACGTGAGGCAGCTAGGGGGACCTAGGGGCAGCTAGGGCATTGAATCTACTTACAAGTGCAGAGCACTGGAGGTTCCTAGCTGCAGAGGGGTCATTGCATATTCATGGTGTGTGGGAAGTTTCATTAGCCAGCCCTGCAAGCTGTGCCATCTGTTAATACCACCCAGCAGGGTGGCTGACGTAACACAGCCCTCACGTCTCCTGGCGGTGAAATGCGACTTTGAAGTTCTTTACCACGAAAAATGAGAGATGTTTGAAGTTGCCAGAGAAATGTGTTTGAATACCAGATCAGTGTCAAACAGTTACCATCTTCAGGGAGAAGGCATACTTCCAGAGAGAATACTCCTTTCACCCTTTCTGCTGAAAATGACCACAGGAAGGATTTGCCTGCTTCCTCTCTGTTTACTTTGTGTAGGAATTGCATTGATAGGAAGCACATGAATGTTGATGTCTTCCTGGAGTGACAGAAGAAGCTGGTGGAAACCCCTCTATTGAGTCGCCTGTTACAGCAGGCACACCCATGGGCTGGTTGCACAGGCATGCCCAGGAAAAAGTGTGTCAGTAGTGATGCTTGGCTAAACAAACCTTGAATGACAACTTGATTCCTTTCCCTTGCCATTCATTTGCATTTTGTGTTTGCACAAATTTAACATAGTCACTGTCAAAAGTGTCCCTTATGTTCATGCTGCTTGATCGGCCTGAAAAAATTGACTGTATAAGTTAAGAAAACTGTTCTGTCACTTTTCTAGGAAATGTGACTAACACCATCCCCTCAATAACCACACAATAAATTTCATTGATATTTGGATGAGTAGGGGGGCATTAAGATCCTATGGCCATAGAAACTGGGTTGATGAGTGCAATTTTAAGCAATTTTCACATGCTATTTACTTCTCTCTGTTCTTATTCTGAATCAAACATCTGCCAGACTATTTGCTCGTATCAGTTTTTAATTTAAAGCTTTAATTAATAAAGTCAAAAGATGAGCAGATACTTGGATTTCTTCCAAACATTAATAATATTTATATATTAAAAAGGGGCTTTGACTTGTTTCCTGTAAGCAGGTAAAATCTATCCACCCAATCACTTCAATACAATGTGGAAGTTTATTCCTTTCTTCCTCTGTCAAACCACAGAAATTATTTGTCATGTGTAAAGAGAGGCTGCAAAAATCCAGTAAAGCAGCCCCAGATGTACACAAGTCTCAGGTTCTCCCACTCCCTTCTGTAATAAAATTAAAAATTTTAAAAACTCTGGCTGTAAGTCACAGTCTCTTGCCAATTTATGAGGTGCTGTTGCTGCTTTCTGCTCCCACACTATGACAGTTAATTTCTGTCTGTTGAAACTATTCCCATGGGAGACTTTCCTTCATTCCAGCTGAGCATCTCAGGATACCAATCTGGGCAGCAAGCCTGCATTACTCTTACACAATTGCAAATAGTTTTTCAAAGTCTTTCATATTTCTCAAGCGGTGACATGGGACCATGTTACCGTCATCAGCAAGGAGCTGCAAACTTCCCAGGTGTTCCATGGGATGGGAGCCCTCATAGTGACTCACACCCTGCCAGTGCTGGGTCCCCGCCCTGCCTGGTAATCTGTAACATGTTTATGCCGAGGGCTTGAAGAGGGAGACAGTCACAAATGCATCTCTGAGTGGGCACCGTGTACATGGTGCCTGCCTCTGGAGATCAGTCTCGGGGCCCGTGAGCCCGCACAAGCACTGGAGCAGGGTGTCTGGTAGGATGTGAGTAGCCACCACTGGTGTTGGTCAGCAGGAGCTGTGACTCATCAGGTCAAATCCTTCCCAGCTACACAGACAGGACTTGGAGCAGCTTCAGTTCAGTCCAAAGTATGCCTTGAGCCCGATGAAAGCTAAGCATCTTTGTCTGACTTTGCATGTGGCTAATTGCATTTCTTTTCTACCTGTGTTTAATGTGTTCATGTCTAATGATATATGAGCCTTAGTCTAGCCTGAAGCAAAGTATGTGCTCAGTGTCACCAACTATTAAACAAGAGATTTCAGTGTCAGCTAAAGGGTGATGATTCCTTTCATTTCCTTAACAATAAGATTCAATAAACTCCACCTAATCTCTTGATTTAAGGGAAATCTGACAAACAACTAAAATATCAGAGCACAGAACATCTTCTGAAGGAGTCTGTGGTAACAGAGCTATCTGGATGTTTTATTGACCGTAGCTTTATATGTATATTTCTGATAGGCAAGGAAGCAAAACTGTAAAAATAAATTGAATTGCAAAGGGTAATAGCAGAACTGGATGTTACAGAGGGAGTGAGACCTTCACTCTTCCACTTCTGTAATATATAATCTGTACCCTTCTTTCAAGGAAGTATAGCAGAAAGAATATATGTTAAGAAAACTAGGTTTCTTCAAACTAAGCAGATATTATCCATAAGTTTCTAGGCGCTGTCATGCACGAGAGAACGGTCTACAACCCTATCTCACATTTTACTTGAGAGCACTATTTTCCTTCTCCATCACTTTCCATCATTTGGTTGTAAGCTCACATGCTTATAAATGTAGAGGTTCCCCAGAGCAACAGCAACAGATGGAGCACGGTGGGAGCTCAGGGGGCAAGGAGGAGGAGGAAGGCAGGACTGGTGCAGCAGGGCAGTGAGGAAGGAAGAGGGCATTGCTGGGGCAGGTTGGGCAGCACGGAGCCTGCCCCAGCCAGGGACGCTGCGGGAATGGCTGGCTGCCCTTCCTCTCACACCGTGCTCTCAGGCATGTGGAGCTCCTTTCAGCCTGACTGTCCTCAGCCTTGCTAATCTACGTCTCTTTACAGGGGACGTTTTCTAAGTTGGCAAATAGGTCTGTGTCCCGTACTCCCTTTTAAGCCTAATTAATTATTTTAATTGATTAATATTGCGCCAAGCAGTTTGCTCAGAAGAGATAGCTCTTCTGGTTTTTTAGACTAATTACCAGTCTGGATTTCTGAATGACAATCCAATGCTAATTAATTTCACTGCAGTTCTCACAGAAAGAGACCCTGATAAGAACTTGCCAATTAACATAAGGGGGGGAAAAATCAACAGTCCTGTTTTGTTTTCCTGGCATTCACTCCCAGTCAGATGAATATCATTATTAAATACAGAGACAGACTAACAATGAAAGCCAGTAGGCTGCAAGGCTGCTCCAAACTTGCCCAGACTTTAATATTTCAGGATCTAGATGTTATTTGTATGACCTGTCATTCTTATTGCTTGACATTGCTTGCTACAGCTTTTGTAAGCAGGAGTGAGATAAAGTAGGGCAACATGGCAAGTGTCTAACCATCCCCATAGGGAACTTCTTGCAGTGTCTCAGTGTTAATCAATACCAGTGGAAGGCTGAAGGGAGCACTGTGGCAGTGTGGGTTCTAGTTTTCACTTGGTTTGTCAGGGCCAGATGCTCAGCTGATGGTGCTCCCTTACCTGCACTGGCTCTGTGGCACCAAGGTGAGTTACGGGTTCTCCTTCAGACAGGTGAGCCAGGGGATTGTCACACAATGAGACACAGCAAACTCATGGAAAGTCCTGGTTTATACTGTGATGGTTGAATTTAATTTTTCTTTTTTCCTCTCTGCACTTGCAGGTCAGAAGATTCTTCACCACAGAAGTGATGTCTTAGAAACTGTAGTCCTCATCAATCCCTCAGATGAAGCAGTTAGTACTGAGGTAAGTAAGAAATACTTTGTTGGACATGTCATAAAAGCTCCATTAAGTGGACATGATGAGGGCACTGAAGCAGATGTAGTTGAGGTGATTATGGAGCATCAGTCACTGCCTGCCAGCTTAGAGACTGACAAACCAAATACTATTTTTCAAAGCCTTAGCAGACACTGAGAGCAGGTCCTGACTGTGAATAAAAGGGTATATTCGGAATAAATATAATGAAAAATGTCACTCATCCCTTGATCTGTTCCCTGGTTTCCCAGACTCCTGACAAATTGTCAAAAGCATAGGACAGAAACATGCCTGTGATCCCAACATTCCTTTTCTCATAATGCATCTAGTTCTCTTCTTGATAGAGTGGAGGCAGCTCTAGGTAAGCTGCCTCTGCTTTTCTTTTTCTTTGCCATTGTTTGGTAGCTCTAGATGCCTCTTTCACATATGAAGAAAGTGTCTGAAGGCGCCCAGGGACAAATTTGGGTCTGGGAGGAATTACCAGCTATGTGGTGGTGACTCTAGGTTGATCTATCTGTCCTTCATAAAGTACATTACATGATTAGTGAACCCTGGAGAGCGCCTATGAGAGGACTGCCAATTCCTTATGAACTCAGTAGAGTCAAAGAACTGATTGTGTAGCTCAAACACAAAATTGATTTATTTAGTGAGTGAGACTGAAGGTTGAAATAATAGGGATAATTGCATTGCTGGTCTGTGCTGGGAAGGACTGCCGCAGTCTCATTTCTTCTGGGAGATAAAACAGTTCTGCTGGTGGTTACTGGTGAAAATCTATTTTGCTGTCAATTGTTAAATCATGTTGAATACAAATAGAAGAAAGGACTCCAAAACAAATGAAATTTCTGAACCTATAGAAGTTTAAAAGCCCCCTTAGTCAATGGGAACTTATTAAAATACGATGCATGAAAATCTCTTACAAGCCATTAGAGGTGCTTGGTAAGGATAAGGGGGTCACCAGGATAGCAGCTCTATGCATTAATTCTGAGTAAAAAGCCATCAAGTGTGTGCATGTGTGAAGGGGTGGAAGAGATGAAAAACTGCCAAAAGGAGGGAAATGCTATTTCTGTTACTGTTGCTTGTCATTCCTTTGATGGATGACTACATGGAAGAACATGATCTGACACCCATTAATGGATTTCTGAACCTTGGGCTTACTCCTTTGGCTGAGGGAATGTTTGGCTATGTTACTGTAAATTTCATCTCACAAGACTATGGGAGGCGATCTTTACTTTGCTTTAATTCTGCCAAACTGGTCGCAGTCAGACAAATGAGATTTAACTTGGCTGGCTAAGCAAGGCTCTGAATAGACACAGTTCAGGAAGAGATGATGAAAAAAAGTGGCAGAATTAAATCAGAGGGTGGAGCAGACATTCTCTGTTCGCTATGGCAAATAGAAAACTTAATTTCATATATCAGAGATTTCCAGAGTGCATCTGTGGGAGACAGAGATATACCATGAAGCTCTGACTTCACCAAAAGAGGAACTGGAATTTATTCACTCAGGAAAAAACCAAAACACTCAAAGAAACAAAAAACAAACCAAAGTAAAACAACAGGTAAAAAAAGAAAACCAAACGAAAGAAAGAAAGAAACAAACAAACAAAATAGAAAGAAATACAATATACCTGGTAACCTGACTGTTAATAGCATTGCCTGCTAGTAGTCTACACATGATTGTGCCTGAAACTCCTGTCACGTTCTGTCAAATGCCAAACACATCCCTTAAGAAGGAGGCCCAAAAGGAGAGAGATTGTTTTTTTCCTGAAGAAAACCCCAATGAACATTTACTTCCTTTTTAGGAAGTCCCCACTCTGTTGCTTTAATGTTCCTGTGACTGTGCCATAGTTTGGGCAAGCACCGATCTGCTGATGTGCCGGTCTCTGTTCACACTCCCTCTTGAACTCTGGTTTAACTGAGCCTACATCTTGCTGTGCACTTCCTTCAACCAATTTTGAACTTTAACCAACAGTTAAACTGAATGGAATCATCGCCTTGCAGTATTTCTTCTAAAATTGAGTGGTCTTGAAATCAGGAGACACATTTCTGATAGTCCTTCAAAAAACCTTATTGGTGCCCAGACACAGAATTTATGTGTCTCGTAAGGTCTTCAATGTGTACACATTATGATCTGTAATCTGCAAATAATTATTTACTTATTTTCCTGGCATAGTTTGCTAACTCTGCACAGTGTACTTTATTGTCAATTAATAAAATAGGTTGAAGAGGAATTATATGACAGTCACATACCAGTGATTCACAAGTCAGGAAGTAGTTTTACTTTTGGAAAACCTGATGAGTTTACGCAAAAGCTGATGAGCACTGCTGGCAGCAACAAAAGAAAACTTAGAAGAGGAAGCCAGTTTAGATACAGTTTTTTTATGTTTTTTAGTGAAAACAAGGAAGATTTGAGTAATGCACATCAGACAAATGCTTGCACTTATCTATATTTTTGTCTGAAATAGAAATAGATACACTTAATCCATACATGATATTTCTGAATTTTTAATTATTTAGTGCAATTAATGGCAGGCCAGCATTAGTCCTACATTTAGTTAAAGGAACTTTCTGCCGCTCAGTATCAGGGTCACTTATTTAATAAAATAACAGTGGAGACATCACAGAGTCAGAATAATCTTTGAGACACATACTTTCCAGTGTGTGTTTTTGAGTTGTACTGAAAACGTGAGTTGTTCAGCAGAGATTTGGGTTATCCTTCCTGGCTCAGCCTCCCAACATTTGCAAGAGTTATTTAGAAAAATTGATTGCTTAACAATCAATATAAACCTTGGAAAGAATATCTTGCTAGGAGAGCTGAGTTGATTGTGTCATCTCCATGGAGATGGAGCTCAGATGCAGTATCATGTGGAGTTGTCCCAGATGGACTCTGCTCATTTCTCAATTAGTTTAATATGTGGATAGCCTTGTTCTGAAATCACTGTTCTGGTTTGATTTAATTCTTCCTTAATAGAGGAATTAGTGCACTTGAAATTCATAGCTTACCATAAACTGAATTGTTTTTTCAGTGTTTGGTAAGATTTTTAAGTTTTTGCAAAGCATTTACTCAACAGTATAGAATCTTACATAGGTTTTGTTTAGTTTAGTTCCTAAGTTTAGAATGTATGGCTTTCTCTTAGCGTGCACGTAAGTCTCCTCCTTGGGAGTGGTGAACAAGAAGAATTAATAGCTGTAGTGAAGGTCGAGTAAAGTAACAAGCATGTGCTGTTAAACAGTTTACTAATGTTGTCCTGATACAATTCTGTAAAAGTATACCAAGAACTATACCACGAATAAGTTTGCTGTTAAAAAAAATATTTCTTCATTCAAGTTGTATTCTCTTCTGCTCCTTGCTGTTTTTTCCATGTCATTAATTTGGTTTGTTCTTCAGACCTTCTTTTTAACTTCATCTTGCCCCTCCTTTTTTTTTTCTCACGTTTTCCCCTTTCTGATTGTCTATTGTAAACAGCACTATAATTCCATAATGTGTTGGGAGTCCTGTTCCAAAGACTGGTTTTAAATTAGGAGAGATAAACTGTGTGTTCTCGGTGGACTATTGATACATGTGGTTACTTCCATTCTTGATGTATTTCTCTTCTTCACTCTAGGTGCGCTTAATGATCACAGATGCTGCAAGGCACAAGCTCCTTGTTCTAACTGGCCAGTGCTTTGAAAACACAGGAGAGCTTATTCTTCAGTCAGGGTCCTTCTCCTTCCAGAACTTCATTGAGATCTTCACAGATCAAGAGGTATGTTTAGAAAAGTGTCTTCCATGCATTGTTATGTGCTGACAAGGATTCGTAGAAGACTAAAAATGGCTCCCTGTCTTGGTAGAGTTACCAACAGGCAGCCTGGTGCTGCTGCTCTTTTACTCTTCATGATAGGCTTTCTTGTTTCATTTTTTAATCTTACTTTAGATTTCACTGCCTAACAAAATAATTTGTTATTAATTTGAGAAATTAAATTACAACTTTCAGAAAGATAAAATCAAGGAACCTTCGACAATGGAAGGAGATAGTGTTGTGTTTAAAACACCCAGGTTGTTAATCTAAGGTGCACATATGAAGCAGTTGAATAGAACATGACACCAGGTTCTTGCCTGCAGCTAATTAGCAAGTGGCATTAATAAAACAGAGGGTGGCTGTTAGAATAACTGTATTTTTTTTGCACCATCTGCCTGCTTAACTTTTTTATAGTAGTGGCTAAAATATGGCCAGTGAACCTGTAAAACTTGTGGTTTTTACATGCCAAAAAGATAAGCATGAAATATACTCGTATTTAATGCCATTTGTTTCATGACTTGTTACTTTGCTCTCTTCCTTAATGTACTGTGTCTGAAAGCTCCTGTAGGGCAGGAATCCATAGTAAACAAGCTGTCATACTTAATTTAGCTGCCATGTAAAGTATATATTTAAATAAACTGTATGGCTGTATCCATACGAATTTAGTTCCTACTATTAGTTAGGAGCATGTCACTAGACTGAGATTTGAAAGTTCAGTGCTGAAATAGCATAGTTTGCATGAGCTCTAGTTTGACCTTATTGTATCCATATGAACTATTCTCAAAGCCTCTTTGTTCAGCAAATGGCTGGGGAAAGAGCTGGATTCCCTCTCTCTGGCACCTAAAATTCACTGGCCCTTCTCAGAGTTACTTTTCTATGAAATTACAAACTCAGGTTTCATATGTCTCTGTCTAATTAATGACATGCAATTACTTTATGACTACATGCAAAACTAGGGGCAAATGCTGCCATTACCATTAGGAAACAAAATTATTGCTTGGAAAGTGAAAGGATGGGGGTTGGCCGTGAGTTGCAGATGCTGTGGGATTGCTGCAGTAGTGGGTGTTCAGTGCACACTCCCATGGGCTGTAAGTGAGGCTCATTTGGCTCATCTCTTGGGCTGGCAGTGTGCTCACCAACCAGCTGGCATGGCTCTCGGCAAGTGTTGGCTTCCAGCCTATTGTTTCTGAAGTCTCGGGGTCTCAGTGTGTCTGCAGGCTTTCACAAAACCAAAGAAAGATCATGTTTGCCATGCTGCAGTTCATGTGTGCAACAATTTTTAAAAACTGAAAATAATAATTAGAAAAGAAGGTCTAGAAAAAGTGGTTAGTGGTTTTCTACGTGGTGATGAGATGGAAGAATTACTGTGCTGTCATGGTGCTAGTGGACTTGGCAGTGCCAGATTTACAGTTGTACTCAATGGTCTCTGGCACCCTAAACAATTCTGTGATTCTATAACCATGTAAGGTGGGAGTGTTTATGGCCTCTGCCTATTTTTACTTCACTGGGCCAAACCTGAACTAAGGTCAAGGAATGTGCTTGCAAATAAGTAAATACATTTTGGGAGATACTTATATAAAGTCTAATTCAGAAATCCATCTCTAGCACGCAGAATTCTCTTCAGGCAAAGCCTGAAAGCAGGATTTTCAATTTCTCCTATGTGGGAAGGTATAAAATGTCCCATTCCCCTGCTCCTGCAACAACAAATAGAATAGGAAAATCCTTCTTTGCACCTTTGTGATTCAGGGTAGGAAGTAATAATTGCATGTTCTCTGAGCAGCCAACTTACTGTTTGTCCTCACTAGCTGTGATACCTTTAAAACTTAAGTATTCCTCAGCAGATGTCTCGCAATGTTTACAAAGACATTCAGGTTTACAGGTTTAAAAAGACATTCAGGTTTATTTATTTGCTCACACAATGATTTTGAATTTGGAGAAGGACAAAACATGATGTTTGGCTACATCTTTTTGTTACTGTCTATTCCAAGTGTCACCATTTGAAATTCAAATCCATTGATACTTTTTTCTGAGGCATGACTGAATTTGCTATTCCTAGCGGGTACAATCTGTGCCTGGAATAAACTTTCTTTAATTTTTCATTAGCCTGGGCTTCCAGTGGCTTAACACTGTCTGCATTATGCATGCTGACTTTAAGGAAGAAATAAGTCAGAATTTAGAAGTATGAAGCAAAAGTCCAAATATGGTACAATATAAACTGAAGAGGACTCACCCCAAACCTTGACACAGTATATTCATTAGCCCAGTATGTTACCATATGATTTTTTTTTGTCCTGGCAGAAAATCAGCCCTTTATGAGAAACAGTCTGTACTCCAGTTTTATTTCCTTATGTATGCAACAGACTTGGATTTGTTTATTCAGAGGAAATGATTTTTTATTACATTTGGCACTCCCTAATAATGTGTTTTCAACCCTGATCAGGGACATATCATAAGGAGTACTCTTGAGATTCTAAATCCATTTCAAAGCTGTCATCCATGCTGCCCCTCTTTTCTTAATTCTGCAATAAACAATAGCGATGGTTCCCCTATTGTCCTTATCAGCATTTTCAGCCTTTTCTCCATTTACTCCTTCTGCTTTGTTTTTTCATTTGCTATTATTCAGACAGGGCCATGTCTGACATATGGGTGAGATTTATTTATACTCCTGTGAAATGGTTTAGGTACTCAGTAACAATGATATAGGAAGATAGAAAATATTTATTTTGGGCTTTATTTATCTCTTGGTTGGAATTTTTTTTAGTAACAGCTTCTGCATCTCTGTTGAGTTCTATGTTTGGTAAATGCTAAAAATAAGATACATAACACAAAGAAAAGAGTGAGATCTACACACAAAGAGGTCTAAAGAGATCTAACACAATCAAACATCATTAATCTTTTATATATTCATTTCCTCTGTTGATACAGCTTATAGTCCAAGAATTTCTAATTATTCAGCTGTAGTGTTATCTATATCAGCCTTATGAAAACTGTTCTTAAAGCTTGATCTGACAACTGAGTCCCTCTAAAGAAGGTTAGGGTATTCTGCATGATGATGTGCTGGCAGGTTTTCCACTGACACTTTATATCTGAATTACTTCTTTATAGAAGTTTTTTGGTCTCTTTGTTAAGGGCAAGTAGAACAGAAATGAGCTACATTTAACTGAATTGTCAGTTTAAAAAAGTCAAATGAAGGTATCTGTGGAACTTAGATAAGGTAAAATATGTCATACTTTTTAAATTTGTCTAGTTATCTGGGACCATCAAATACTGGTTTTTGGTTTTTGTACTAGAATGTTAACTAATACTGTCAAAATAATGGAGTTACTCTAGATTTCAAATTTTGTGGTCCATGAATATCATGAATGACAAGAGCATTTTTAACCCTGTTTTTTTCCCTTGATCTTTCTTTGACTCTAGACTGTAGAAACTCAGAAGTACAAAACTTAGAATCATAGATTCATAGAATTGTTCAGGTTGGAAAAGACAAATTCACAGAATTGTTTGGGTTGGAAAAGATCTCGAAGATCATCAAGTCCAACTCTTATCCAACACTACCAAATTAAACACTAAACTATGCCCCCAGGCACCACCACATCTACACATCTTAAATACCTGCAAGGATAGTGACTCAACCACTTTCCTGGGCAGCCTGATTCAGTGTTTGACAGTGCATTTGGGGAAGAAATTTTCCATCATACCCAATCTTAACTTCCCCTGGTGCAATTTGAGGTCATTTCTTGTCATCCTGTCATTTGTTACTTGTGAGAAGAGACCAAGCCCCCACCTGGCTACACCTTCCTTTCAGGCAATTGCAGAGAGCAGTAAGTTCCCCCCTCCCCACCTCCTTTTTTCCAGGATAAAAAACCTCAGCTCACTCAGCCACTCCTGGCCAGACTTGTGCTCCAGGCCCTTCACCAGCTCTGTTGCCTTTTTCTTGACATGCTCAAGTACCTCAGTGTTTTCCTTGGAGAGAGGGGCCCAAAAACTTACAGCTGTTTCCATTTCTGAAGTATTAACTCATTTCTCAACCACAGATTCACAGAATCTTTAGGGTTGGAAGAGATGTCTGGGGATTATCCAGTCCAAACCCCCTGCCAGGGCAAGGTCACCCAGAGCAGGTGACACAGGAACATGTCCAAGTAGATTTTGAAAATCTCCAGAGAAAGGCACTCCACAGCCTCCCTGGGCAGCCTGTTCCAGTGCTCTGCCAGCCTCAACATAAAGAAGTTATCCCTCATTTTGAAGTGGAACTTGTGATTTAGCTTTCGGCCATTGCTCCTTGTCCTGTCACTGGCCGCCACCAAAAAGAATCTGGTACCATCCTCTTGACACTTGCCTTTGAGATATTTAGTATGTATTCCCAAGAACCCCTCTCAGACTTCTCTGGACTAAACAGGCCCAGCTCCCACATTCTCACCTCCTAAGAGAGATGTTCCAGTCCCCTCATCTGTATCTCATCAGGGAATATTATGTGTTGACATTAATTGTCATGAAAAACTGAATTTGTGTGCATCTTCTTGTGTTTTTGTTTTATAACTCTAGATTGGTGAACTGTTGAGCACCACACACCCTGCGAACAAAGCCAGCCTAACTCTTTTCTGCCCTGAGGAAGGGGACTGGAAAAATTCCAACCTTGATAGACACAACCTTCAAGACTTTATTAACATTAAACTCAACTCAGCTTCCATATTGCCTGAGATGGAAGGACTCTCTGAATTCACAGAATATCTGTCAGAATCAGTAGAAGTGCCATCACCTTTTGACATTTTGGAACCTCCAACCTCAGGAGGTTTCTTGAAGCTCTCCAAGCCCTGCTGTTACATTTTCCCAGGGGGAAGAGGAGACTCTGCATTGTTCGCAGTGAATGGATTCAATATGCTTATCAATGGAGGATCTGAAAGAAAATCTTGTTTTTGGAAACTTATCCGGCACTTGGACAGAGTAGATTCCATTCTGCTCACTCACATCGGAGATGACAATCTGCCAGGAATCAATAGCATGCTTCAGCGAAAGATAGCTGAACTAGAAGAGGAACAGTCTCAAGGGTCTACTACCAACAGTGACTGGATGAAAAATCTGATCTCACCTGATTTAGGAGTTGTGTTCCTTAATGTACCTGAGAACCTGAAGAACCTGGATCCTAATCTTAGAGTTAAAAGGAGTGTAGAAGAAGCTTGTTTTACTCTCCAGTATTTAAATAAATTGTCTATGAAACCAGAACCTCTTTTCAGAAACACAGGAAATACCATTGACCCTATAATTTTATTTCAGAAAATGGGAGTTGGCAAACTTGAGATGTATGTGCTTAATCCTGTCAAAAACAGCAAAGAGATGCAATATTTTATGCAGCAGTGGAGCGGTAGTAACAAAGATAAAGCTGAATTCCTGCTACCAAATGGCCAAGAACTAGACATTCCATTATCCTACTTCACCTCAGTGTCATCCCTGATTGTGTGGCATCCAGCTAATCCTGCAGAAAAAATAATCCGAGTTCTCTTTCCTGGAAACAGCACCCAGTATAATATTCTAGAGGGACTAGAAAAACTCAAACACTTAGACTTCCTTAAACAACCAATGGTTACACAAAAAGACCTAACTGGGAACATTGCTAGTCCGGCTGTGAAACAAGCAAAATTGAAACAGCGAACAGATAGCAAGGAGAGTCTGAAGCCTGCTGCAAAGACACCACCAAATAAGCCTGTCAGAAAGGAATCTAAAGAAGAAACACCAGAGCCTGTGAAGCCTAGTCCAGTACCAGAAAAGCCTCAGAAGCTAGAAAGCAAAGAAAAAGTTCCAGCTAAAAAAGAAAAGCCAGCAAAAGTAGAGACCAAACCAATAGTGGTGGAAAAAGACATTGCAAGTAAGGAAGAACAACCAGTGAAATCTGAAATTCCTGAAAAACAAAGTACAGATGTAAAACCAAAATTGTCAAAGGAGAAGACAGTGAAAAAGGAAGTCAAATCAAAACCTGAAGAAAAGAAGGAGGACAAAGAAAAGCCAAAGAAAGAGGTTTCTAAAAAAGAGGAGAAAACACCCATCAAAAAAGAGGAAAAACCAAAAAAAGAAGAGATCAAGAAAGAAGTTAAAAAAGAGGTGAAAAAGGAAGAGAAGAAGGAAACAAAGAAGGAAATAAAGAAAGAAGCTTCAACAAAAGACGTGAAAAAAGAAACTAAAAAAGAAGAGAAGAAGGAAATCAAGAAGGAAGACAAAGAAGCCAAAAAGGACATCAAGAAGGTTCCTAAAGAAACAAAGAAGACAGCTACTCCTTCAAATGATGCAAAAAAGCCAGCAGCAAAGCCTAAACCACAAAAGAAGGAGGAACCTGCTAAAAAAGAAGCAGTACCTGCTGGAAAGCCAAAGGAAAAAGGAAAAGTTAAGAGTGTGAAGAAGGATCTCAAAGTCAGTGGAGCACAAGCTGCCCTTGCAGCAGTTGGAGCCACAACTCTAGCAGCTGCAGAAATTACAGCTGGTGGAAAGGAGCTTGAAGCAGAGAGATCCCTTATGTCTTCACCAGAGGATTTAACAAAGGATTTTGAGGAATTAAAAGCTGAAGAGGTAGAAACAATAAAAGAAACTAAATCTCAAGTTGCACTTACAAAGGATGATCTGAAACTCACTGGCACCGTACAAAAAGATGCCTTTGAAATACAAAAAGAAAAATTGGATAATGAAGGACCTGCTGAGTCATCTGATGAAGGCATAACTACCACAGAGGCTGAGGGTGAGTGTGAGCAGACACCGGAAGAATTGGAACCTGTGGAAAAACACAAGGTTGATGACAATGAAAAGTTTGAAGATGAGGGAACTGGTTTGGAAGAATCATCTGAAGCAGATTATGAAGAAAAGGCAGAGACAGAAGAAGCTGAAGAACGAGATGAAAGTGAAGGAGAAAAAACACGACTGGATGCCACAAAAACATATATGGAAGAATCAAGAAAAATTGAAGATGGCTCAGAAAAAGTAATGACTCAAGCAGATGTTAACATTAAAGATGAAAAGTATATTGAAAAGGCAGATTATGAGGCATCTGATGAACGAGCTGAAGAAGACAGGGAAGAAGCAATAGAAAAGGCAGAAACTGAAGAAACTGAAGAAGATGAGGAAGACAAAGCAGAAGACATCAGAGATGAAGAGGAAACTGAAAAAACAGAAGCTGAAGAAGATTATGTGATGGCTGTGGTAGACAAAGCTGCAGAATCTGGGGAAGCCGAGGATAAATATGGCTTACTCATAATTACACCCACTAAACGCTCAGAGTCTCAGTCTCCAGTGATTGAACCAGCTTCTTCCATCCATGATGAGACACTACCTGGTGGTTCAGAAAGTGAAGCCACCGTTTCCGATGAAGAAAATAGAGAAGATCAACCTGAGGAATTCACTGCTACTTCAGGTTACACACAGTCCACCATTGAAATATCCAGTGAACCAACTCCAATGGATGAAATGTCAACACCCCGAGATGTCATGAGTGATGAAACTAACAATGAGGAAAGCGAGTCACCCTCTCAGGAATATGTGAACATTACCAAGTATGAGACATCACTGTACTCTCAAGAGTTCAGCAGAGCTAAACTTTCTCCACTTCCAGATGCTTTTAATGGGTTATCTGAAGGATCCAAAACAGAGGCCACAGAAGGTAAGGATTATAATGCCTCAGCTTCCACCATCTCACCACCCTCTTCACTAGAGGAAGACAAATTCTGCAAATCTGCATTCCAAGATGTATACCGGCAAAGAGAAAGTGAAATCCAAGGCACTGACAAATTAGAAATCAAAGAACCCTATCAAGAAGATGGTGGAAAGGATAGTTCAGCCAAGAGTCCAGCTGACAGTTTGTCCCCTCCATCGCCTGTTGCCAGAACACCACTGAGTGAACGTAGTGTGAACTTTTCACTCACTCCCAATGAGATCAAGGTTCCTTCTGAGTCTGTCCCCACTGCTAAATTGCCTGATGTACACCAGGAAGTTGCTGAAGAGCACTGTGTAAGCCCTGAAGATAAAACATTAGAAGTAGCATCTCCTTCACAGTCTGCTGCTGGTAGTGCTGGCCACACACCTTATTATCAGTCTCCCACTGATGAAAAGTCCAGTCAGCTTCCCTCTGAAACCAGTGAAAAGTCAACAGAAGCTCCTGTTAGCTTTGAGTTCAGTGAAGTCAAAGATGAGTCTGCAAAATGCAGAATAAGCCCTATGGATGAGCCTGTGCCAGATTCAGAATCTCCTATTGAAAAGGTTCTCTCTCCTCTGCGAAGTCCACCACTGATAGGTTCAGAGACCCCTTATGATACATTTTTGAGTGCTGATTTAAAGTCTCCCACCAGAGATTACGGAAGTCCTTCTGAGGGGAAACCTGAAAAAGACAAATCACCTGCTCAGATGAGCCCAGCTTCTGAAGCAAGCTCTGTGGGCCTCTTCCAAGATAAACAAGATGAAAAAAGCATGGAATTTATGGTAATTAAGGAAAGCTTCAGCCTGGAAAGGAAAATGGAGGATACAGAACCCAGCAGCTCTCAGTCTTCACTGGTCTTGGATGAGCGGAAGTTAGCAGGTGATCTCTCACCGACTCAAATAGATATCAGTCAGTTTGGTTCTTTAAAAGAAGATACCAAAATGTCAATTTCTGAAGGCACTGTCTCTGACAAGTCTGCAACTCCTGTTGATGAGGTTGTTGCAGAAGACACCTATTCCCATATAGAAGGAGTAGCTTCTGTCTCTACAGCATCTGTTGCTACTAGTTCATTTCCAGAACCAACGACTGATGATGTATCTCCTTCTTTGCATGCTGAGGTTGGTTCTCCCCACTCTACTGAAGTTGATGATTCCCTCTCAGTCTCAGTTGTACAAACACCAACAACTTTTCAGGAAACAGAAATGTCTCCATCAAAAGAAGAGTGTCCAAGGCCTATGTCAATTTCTCCACCAGATTTTTCACCTAAAACTGCAAAATCAAGAACACCGGTGCTTGATCACAGATCTCCTGAGCAGTCAGCTATGTCAGTAGAATATGGTCGGGAGTCACCTGAGCAGTCTTTAGCAATGGATTTTAGTAGGCAGTCTCCTGAATATCCTGCTGTAGGCACTAGTGTACACCATATATCTGAAAATGGACCAACAGAAGTAGATTACAGCCCTTCAGATGTACAGGAGTCTCCTTTTGCACGGAAGATTTCACCTGTGGAACAGTCATATTACTCTCAAGAGAAAGATATTTCAGAAATTATTTCAGTTTCTCAAATTGAAGCTTCATCCTCAACTTCATCAGCTCATACGCCTTCCCAGGTAGCTTCACCACTGCCAGAGGAAACCTTTTCAGGTGGTGTTCCACCCAGAGAGATGTCACTGCATTCTTCTTTTACCTCAGAAAAGGTGCAGAGCCTAGGAGAAAAGCTGTCACCAAAATCTGACCTATCTCCATTAACTCCAAGGGAATCTTCTCCCCTGTACTCACCTACTTTTCCAGATTCACCTCCTGCAGTCACAGAGGCAGTGTCAGCTAGTCACACACCGTTGTTGTCACAGCGAGTGTCTTCTGTCAAAGCCTTTGGTTATCAGGAGCCCCTATCAAAGCACAGTCCAGAACCTTTACTCAGCCCAGATAAAGAAGATTCAGAGAAAAGCAGCAGGTCACCAGAAGAACTTAGTTATTCATATGAGGCCAGAGAGAAAACTACTAGGTCACCAGAGAATATTAGTTATTCCTATGAGGCAGTAGGAAAATCTACTAGGTCACCTCAAGACATGGATTATTCCTATGAGACAAGCAGAAAAACTACTAGGTCTCCTGAGACCACAGATTATTCCTATGAGATAACCAGGAACAGTACTAGGTCACCCGAGGATACAGACTATTCATATGAGATAATTGCAAAAAATATGAGGTCATCTGAAGTCACAGATTATTCTTATCAGATAACAGGGAAAACCACCATGTCACCAGGGGCCACAGATTATTCCTATGAGACAGCTGGGAAAACCACCAAATCACCTGAAGCCACAGATTATTCCTATGAGTTAACTGGGAAAGCTACCAGATCACCTGATACTATGGATTACTCCTATGAGACAAGGAAAACTTCTAAGTCACCAGAAGCTGTTGGCTACTGCTATGAGACAATTGGGAGTACCACCAGGTCATCAGAGGCCATGACTTACTCTTATGAGACAACTGGGAAAGCCTCCAGTTCACCTGAAGCCACAGACTACTCATTCGAGACAACTGGGAGAGCCAGCACTGGGAGGTCACCCGAAGCTACCAGCTATTCCTATGAAGCAAGTGCACCTTTTACTCCAAGTAAATCACTAGCAGAATCCCGTCAAGATGTTGACTTATGCCTTGTGTCCTCTTGTGAATATAAACATCCCAAAACTGAACTCTCACCCTCATTTATCAACCCAAATCCCCTTGAGTGGTTTGCAAGTGAAGAACAGTCTCAAGACCAAGAGAAGCCACTAACTCAGGCTGGGGGAGCTCAGCCTCCTTCGGGGGGAAAGCAGCAAGGGCGGCAGTGTGATGAGACCCCTCCCACATCTGTGAGCGAGTCTGCCCCGTCTCAGACCGATTCGGATGTTCCCCCGGAGACTGAGGAATGCCCTTCCATCACTGCAGATGCTAACATTGACTCAGAAGATGAGTCAGAAACCATTCCAACGGACAAGACAATTACATACAAACACATTGATCCACCGCCTGTCCCAATGCAGGATCGCAGCCCTTCCCCCAGGCATCCTGATGTTACCATGGTTGATCCAGAGGCTCTGCCGGTTGAACAGAATTTAGGTAAAGCTTTGAAGAAGGACCTTAAAGAAAAGACAAAGACGAAAAAGCAGGGCACAAAGACCAAGTCATCTTCTCCTGTTAAAAAAAGTGATGGTAAATCAAAACAAGTGGCCTCACCAAAGCCAGCTACGAAAGAATCTTTAGAAAAAATTTCCAGAACAGCTTCTCCAAAAAAGAAGGAATCTGTGGAGAAGGCAACCAAAAATATCTCTAATCCAGAGGTAAAGTCTCGAGCAGAAGAGAAAGATAAGGATACCAAGAATGCAGCAAATACAACAACATCCAAGTCGGCAAAGACTGCAACCACAGGTAAGGACGAATAGCAGTGCCCTAGTGTTACGATTTTCTTAGTTGTTGCAGTGTAATTAGTTTGCCATTATATCAGCTGAGTGTGGTTTGTGGCATATCCTCAAAGAAAGTTCAGGTTTGAGGTATAAATCCAGCATGTAAATGCCACATTTAAATGCATTAAATTCACTAGTTTTACTTCTATAATTTGAGAAAATTGATGTCAGTTTGCCCAGAGAGTACGTAAAATAGAAATAATTTAATACAAGCTGTCTAAGCAGTTAACCACCTAATAGAATTGAAAATACGACTCTAGTAGGTGAAGTAAAATCAGTAGCAAAGTGAAACCCTTTATTCATTGTGAGAAATAAGTAGATACAATTCTCTTCAACATAAATTTATACAATTTAATATTCTGGGAGGCAAAGTCACTATCCCTTTGGATGCTCCTATTACTTTGCTGGATTGATTTTAAAAGCAGCATTTTAAAAAATTTAACATTACTAAAAGCATTTTGACTGAACTAAGCATGTAGGTCACGTAATATGGTTTTACGCCATCAGTGATGACTAAACATACAGAAAGTTAATGTAATTTTGAATGCCTGTTGTCCATTCTAAATAGCAATAAAAATATGAATTAGATTACTGAAGGAAGTATTGTGCTAATCTGTTGTTTCCGGCAGACCTTGTTAGGAACTATTTGGAGGATACTTTGATTTTTCTTCTGTGAGGACTGGTGTTCCATTGAAAGCTTCTTTACAAGGAGCTTTACTAGGATTCAGCACGAACAAACCAACATTCAGCTGTCCTTAGCTTCCCCGTTTTTGGCAGTCCACTGTTCCTTTCTCACACTATCGTTTGAGTCTCTCTGTTAGAAGATACATTTTAAAGCAGCAATGTAGTTATTCCTGCTGTGCATTTCTGCAGCACTTCAGCTCTACATTAAAGTCATTAGGCATACTTCTCAGGTATGTGCTGGAATAATTAGTCATTACATAAAATTGTAAAAATGTAGCAACAATTATCTTAATCAGTGTTGGTATGCCCAACTAAAACAGACATCAGAGATCTTTTTATCATCAAAAATGCTAAAATATTTTGTAAGAAAACCAATAGAAAAACTCTCTAAATCGGGAAGTCTTACCACTTCATTTGTCATTTTGCCCTATGGTGGCTGCCAGGACATGCTAGACAACTCAAAGGCAGTTTGTTGACCCTTACACTGTTTGACCCTAAATTGATCGTATTGCTTAGATAATTGTTTACCAATCTTAATCAACATGAGAAAGTTAATAAGCCATAAATGTTGATCATCTGGGTAAAATTACTGGCTGAAGCCCGGTTTTTAGTTTACACCATGATTCAGTTTAGAGAAAAAGATGCATTATTTTGTGTAATATTTTTAATATGTTTACATGTTGCACTTCATTTTGACTGAAGCTCTTAGAACAAGTACTATATATAAACTATGTACAGCAGCAAAGAAACGCTTCCCCCTACTTTTTGTGATAAGTGGCTAATTTCTGTGTGCAAAAAAGGATACAGGAGCCAGACAAATACTTCACTCTGTTCCTCGAATTGCTTTGCAGCTTTCTCCTTCCAAGTTCCTCCTTGACCCTCTTTGTGTTTACATGTGGTAGCCTCCTGCTACATCTCTAAGACAGCCTGAGCATATCAATTGCTATCATGTCTCACTATGTGCCTCAGATTTTAGGACTGCTTCAAATTTTCATGGCTTCCTGTGTGATACTAGATTTTATAATCATTCATACCCTAGACTTTCAAAAAGCTGCAGTTCTTCATCAGGAAAATAATACCACAATTTACTGAATGGTAATTCACTAATCACAGCCCTACATAGTAATTGCTGGGTAGTAGTGGTATATTTCTGGAAAAAGTTCAGACAACTTTTTGTTACATGATAGTGATTTCTTATTGTATTATATAGTTCCAGTTTTTCGGGTTGTTCCTCCCGTTACAATCATAATTGGAGTATAATAAAACTGTAACTTTCGTTATATGTAGGAGGGTAATTCCGTAATTGGACACATCTCACCTCAGTGGTTATAACAGCAATTAACAGAGCATGCTTTTAACCAGCCTGTGATATATTCTTTTGTTGTTTGGTTTCCAAAGGACCTGGGAATACTAAGGTGGCAAAATCTACAGCAGTGCCTCCGGGACCTCCAGTGTATTTGGATCTGGTGTACATTCCCAACCACAGCAATAGCAAGAATGTTGATGTTGAGTTTTTCAAGAGGGTGCGGTCATCCTACTATGTGGTGAGCGGGAATGATGCTGCGGCCGAGGAGCCAAGCAGGGCTGTTCTGGACTCCCTGCTGGAGGGCAAGGCGCAGTGGGAGAGTAACATGCAGGTAGGCTCTTCCCTCCTATCTCAACCTGGAAATCTAACCTTTCTCAGCTATGAGAAACTAGAGCACCTCTGGAGTGGATAGGAGCTGCCAGAGGATGGAGCCCTGTCTTGGTTTGACAGACAGGTGTTTGCCAAGGAAGGCAGGAACCTCCTTTGGAATGGAGAATGTGAGGAAGGAAAGAGAGAGCTGGGACCTGCACCTAACACCTTTTTCCCAGACCAATTCTCCCGGTATCTCTGCCCTTCCCAGAGAAACCCCCAGGTAAAAAGAAAGGATAGCTAGGCACTCCTCCTCTGAGGTATGGCAACTTCTTTTGCCTCTCCTAAGTCCCCGGTCGTTATTGTCTCCTAGCAACATATATGGCAGAAATTTCCGTGAGAGAAAGAAACAGAAGGAAGAATCCTAAACCCCAGCAGGGCCCCAGGCTGAGCACCAGTGAAACCATTGATGATATGTGAAGCACAGAGCTGCACTGCCCTCAGCTGCTCCCACATCTCTGACCCTTCACGCCAGTTCCTGGTTTTTAAAACAGCTGAGAACTGGCTTATATGACCAGTTGGCTGTTTCATAATTTTACTACACCACTCACGTGATCTTGGCATATTTGAGTTTGGCATTGTTGCAGTATTAAGTAGGGAAGACATGCTTCACACTTTATTGAGTAATTACATGCATTTGGAAACTTAATGTGCCTTTCCATTATGATGAATAACTAAAGAAAACATTTGTCTATAATCTGAAGAGTTACCAGTGTAGATTACAATCTGAAGCTTTTCTAGAAAGCTGCATCTCAGCAGCTTAAAAAAACAACCTTTTATTTTGATAAAGTACTTATTTGCAGTCATTCTACTTTACCTACATGTTGATTTCCTTTTATCCATCTATTTATCCAAGTATGTATTGCATAAAAATCCACTCTTTCCTAAAGGGAAACATACTTGTTGGCTGGAGCTTCTTAAAAAGGCATTTTGCATAACAGCTGTTTCTGTGGTCCATTCCAACAGGACTTTCATTTTGTGTTGCAGGTGACTTTAATCCCAACCCATGACTCAGAAGTGATGAGGGAATGGTATCAAGAGACACATGAGAAACAGCAGGATCTTAACATCATGGTTTTGGCAAGCAGCAGCACCGTTGTTATGCAAGATGAATCTTTTCCTGCATGCAAGATTGAACTGTAAGAACAAGATCGTGCATTACAAGACGAAACTTTGTTTCCAGAAATCCGTCAGTTTGAAAACACCTTATCTGAAAATTCAACTCATCTATTTCAACTGCTGAACTATATACCTGCCAAATGCTATACTGTGTCACAGTGATGCAAGTCACTAATATTTTTCAGTCTTTGTTGGTTGCTAAGGGAAATAACAGTCTTCCCATAGTAGAGTACAAATTACTGCGAAAATACAGATCCAGTTGCATCTCCACTGAACATTTTGAAACCATGCACTAGCAACCCTAAATGACTTTTGCCAGGTAGAGGCATTTGCCCTCTAAAGAAACACAAAGAGAGAAAGAGAGAGGGGTAGGAGGAGAAAGTAGTAAATTATTAGGTCTGCATTAGTCTCATGGCAATAGATGTATCGCTTACTACAGCCTGCTTATGTTCTCACATGTGAAGAAAGTTTTAAATTTTTATCAAATATGAGCTATCACTATGGGGATCCTTTTTTTAAAGAATTAAGTTAGCTCAAAAATATAAATAAAGAGAACATGGCTAGGAAGGGATGTATGACCTAATCACTCATCAGCAGCTTTCCACTTTAATTTGAACTCTGCATACTGACACACCGTAACAATCATAGGCCAAATATGCATGTAGTCTGCACCCCATCCAGAAGTCTAAAACCTTTCTTACAACATGCAGAATTATTGGTCTAAGGCATGCTTCCAGTGAAAGCCCACTCACTCCAGCCAGAACTGACCAGTCCACATGCTTGAACACCCATGTCCACTGTCGATTACCTGAAGCAAAATACCAAAGCGGTCGGGAGTACATACAGTAGACAATTTGCCTTAGAAAGTGACTTGAATGTACAAAGAAACTTGATGCACTTATTTTTTAATGCTGCGACAGCAATTTATAAAACATCTCTGTAGGATCATAGTTACACCAGTAAAGAAGTGTGAGTGTACACGTGTGGTATTAGGAACTTACCTGACTGGTCAAATGGTTTGGTGCTATGAATTACGTATATTAGCTATGTGAACGCTTCATTGATGCACCCGGACAGCTCAACAAGGCAAGATGAGCTTTTTTCTGAAGGCTCCTTTTGTACTGTGGAAGCAAGATTGAAGTGGTGTCCAGTATCAGAGTTACAAAACTTAGCGAAACATTCAGAATGATGGAAAAGGTTACCTGTGAGCCTGTACAGAGTTCAACCTTCCTTTGTCTTACCTGATTTTATTTGTTTAATTTAAGAGTGAACCTGGGAACAAATGTACAGAAGTCTTTCTCTTTAGTGCTGTGTGAACTTTTAATACATGATTTGTAACTAACATTTTCATTTACAGGTAAATGCAAAGAAGATTTTTCAGGTGAAGGCATTCTTTTTAGTAGTTTTGCAAGATAAAGGAGTAGTGTTGTTTAAGATTCTAGTGAGAATGGATATTGAGGTAAAATTTATTGAAAATAGTCAACTGTCAATACCTTTTTGGGGAGAGGGGTATGGAAGGATACCCTCGTAGTAAAATTATTCTGTTGATGATGACAGAAAATGGGATTTGAGAAGTTGATTGCTCAATACTTAAAAGGTTGTAACCCACATTCTCAACCCTCACAAGATCTTGAAAAAGGATAGAACAAGCAATAAGCTAAAATAAGTCCCTTATCTTCCCTTTTCCTTCCTTTCCCTTCTCTTCTCCTTTCCTTTCCTCTTTTCTCAATTCTTTCATTTCCTTCTTTCCTTCTCTTTCCTTTACTCCTCTCTCCTTCTCTCATTTCCTCTTTCACTTCCTTTCCTCTTCCTTTTCCTTGCCTCTTCCTTTACTGTTCTCTTTTTCTTCCTTTCCTTTTCTTCTTCTCTCCCTTCTTTTCATTCTCTAGACTGCTTGCAGATGAACAACATTACTGCTCTGAGATTTGGATTTTTTAGTCTCAGAAGTTTTATCCCAATTTTTAAAATCTTGTTGCATTGCAGAAGGTCTGCAAATCTCAATTTAAGAAGGTGTAAAGGCCTCCAGCACGGAGTTATGTGCTGGTTGTATGAATCACCATTATGGCTGGTATCAAGATTTACAATGTAGTGAACTATGACCTCATTTTATTTTCTTTACTTATAATTTATTTCAATTTTACATTGTTAGGATATTTTTGTTTAATAGGTGTATGTTTGCACTCCTAATTTTTATGAGGGTTTTTAAATTCTGGTTTAGAGTCTTGTAAATGTGGGCTTCTCATGCCCATTTAATGCTGTGAATTACTGTTTGTCAGTGGTTGGGGTTTTGATTTATTTTTAATGTCTTCTTCTCTTTTTCTAGGTTTCTCTAGCAATGCTGTTTTATTTATTGCTATACCTTTTAAGTAGTTAAGAATAACTCAGAGTGACTATGGCACAAAAGGCAGATGGAAATGTATTGTGAAAACAAGCATGTTTGCTGGGCTCATGTCATTCACTTAAAAATGCTTTTGTAATACATATCCTACAAAGATATGGGCAAAATTTTTGGCAGAATAGTTGTACTATTTCTATAATTCTTTCTGATTTGTCTACTTTATTATATAGGTCAGAATTCAAACGTTTTGAGTGGGTGGGAACAGATTTTCTGCTTTTCTGACAACACCTGAAATGGTTTGTATCTCTGCTTTGGTAGAAAATTGTGTTAAGTACAGCAGTGGTCTTGTGACTAATCTCACTTATGCCACTTACTCCTGTGAATCAGGAGCAATTTCACTACTGTCAGGGAAGTTACAGTCATCTGATCCTACTGTAAATTAAATTGGAATCAAGCCTTAAATATGCCCAAGCAAGTTTATGATGGCTGAAGCATTTGTTTTACTTCTGAAATAATAATGATAATTAGACAGTTACAGTTAACCTTAACATGTACATTTGCTTTTTTTGCTGCTACAAGAATATTAAAACCCTGGTCTGGCTATTCTGAGGTATTTTAATGCCTATTCCATCAACCCCCTTCCAAATAGCAATGGCACCTAGATTCAACACAGCAATGAGCTCCTCCATTAGCTCCTCTTGCCCTTAATGACTTTCCTGCCTGTAGAACTAATCTACCTGTGCTAATCCTAGTACTACACAACTAGTTTAGTGTAACAGTCATCAAAATGTACTGTGTACATTAACGATGAGTGCTGTTGATCAGCATAGATTTCTAGGAGCATGGTTTGTTATTGATTACTCTAATTGTAAAGATTCAATATCTGAGTGCTAAAAACACTCCATTTCAATGATGGTATTACCCATAACAGCATTCCCAGTCATGATCTTTATGCTATTAATATAATGCTTCATATAATTCAATGAAGAATTAACTTTGGGGATCCCATCCCACTCTTGTACTTGGACAGGGCTTCTCTTGCATGCCTTTTCAAAGTCCTGTGGTGGGCCTGACTCATTGACCTCTATTTTCACCCCATCTTTCATAGAAATCACTTTTGATTTTTTTTTTACTTATTTTACATACGTGGTGAATGGAGATAACTGTGTATATGAATGTTGGGGTTTTTTTAATTGTCTATGATAGCTTATGCATTTTAGGAGAGTTCTGGTACTCTTTTACTAAGATTTAATAAATTTGTTAATTGAATTTTCAATCCCTCCCAACACAAGCAAATGAGCTCCAAAGAGCACTTGCTGTGCAATTTGGAACATTTCTGTCATGCGCTTCTCTTTGTTCATCTGTCGCCAGAGGTTCTTGCTCAGTAATGATGTTTTTGAGAGAAATAGTAATTTTCTTGGTCTGGATTTACTAGAATATGAAAAAATACAATGTTTACATTTGAAAGAAAAGCTTTCATCTTGTCACTTAATAATTGAACAAAAGACTAAAATCAACTAGAGGTGAGCATTTCTTAGAAGGCAATTATATTATTCACCTGGTTTAAAAATGTTTACTATTTAAAATTTTAAAAAATAAAAACCTCTTGTTTGTTGTGACTTTACAAAAAGAAAAAATTAGAAACTAAATAAAACTGGCATAAAATATAGAAAGAAAAAAATTTAAGAAGCAGCTTCTCTCTACTAGGCTAACTAAGAGCTCCAGATGGCAGGAGCTAACCTCTTCAAGACTGGGCTGTAATCTCAATGTAAAAGGCAAAATCTGAAATATGCTTTCACGCATTTGCATGCAGCCATTATCTTCCAAACTATGGAAAGAAAGTCTTGTGGCTGGCTGAGAAGCACCTCACACACCTCCTCTCTCTTGTTCTGAATGGTGTTTGTGTCAGTCTGCAGCTGTGTATGGTATTATGTCTTATAATCCTGCATCACTTCTATTCTATCCAGTCATATCTAATGTAGAAAATTAGTTTCCAGTGAAAGTAATATGTAGTGCTTTTATGATATTTGTGTGCAATATCCCCTCTTCCATTGAGGATATTTGATGTAAAGGAATCAAACTCAGTTCCACAATAAAATACAAAAGTGATAAAGTGGTGTTGACATGTTTCTTGTCTTTGTGTATGTATGTATTTTTAAGTTCTCCTTTTCTCTTAGTCATGATTACCTAGTATATGAGGGGGTTTTTCTGAAGACCAGTGATTATTTGATTGCCAGACAAACCCCAGTCTCTCTTTAGAAACTTGAAAATAAATGTGGAAGAATACTTTTATCTTGTGGTGCAAAACATAACCATGATGTACCATGACATGGCTTCCCTTTGTTGTTCTCATTTCTGTACTCCTCAGCAGAATGAGAAAACACCTCATTTTCAGTAAGTACACAGACATAGATGATGCCAAATAAAGTTACATCAAACTGAGCCCACCCTGAGGTCTTTTCCAAAGTTGTAGCAGTTCAGCAAGAGTGCAGCTTGTCTCCAGTGGTTACGGACCCTTCCTGACCATCACTACCCATTCATCTTGGTGAGTAGAGGGCATTTGGGGAAGCTGAGCCCTCAGTTCAGATTTTTAGTCTGTAAAAGTTAGAATTCCCCTTCTGCTGTTGAGGGATGCTGTGAGATAAAGGCTTTCTGCCTTTGTCGTTCTTGCAGCGGCAATGCCTGCTGTACTAATGTGCAGAAGTCAATGATGATGGCATGAAAGCAGGTTAAGGCTGGGGCAGCAAAATGCAAGGCGTGCTCACTCCCAGGAGAAGCAGAGGTTCTGTGGGATTTCTTTCACCCTCAAACAGCAGTCTTCGTTTGCAGGCCTTTATTAATTTCCAAAGTCCAAGGGCTTATTTGTAGTTTATGACAATAAAAAATTCTGTACTTGTTTTGAATTGGGCTAAGCATGGTGAAATAGAGAAAAATTATGACTAGATGAGGGAAGTCAAGTGCTGCAAATCCTAAGTATAATTCTGCATATGTGTGCATCAAGGTTTTCGAAGCTTTTGAGGTAGACTCACTAACGTTACTTAAAATATATCAAAATGAGTGTACAAAGGAGACCATGTCAAGCTTCAGTCCCAGTCATTTACTTGCAGCTGCATAGCAAAGTTATGCATTTGCATAAGTGTAATGGGGGCCAAGCCAGCCTGGTGTGTGGTGTTTGGCTTGCTGCTGCTAGATGCCACATGAAAGCTCCTTTCTTCAACACAGCTTAACAAATTCAGCTTGTGAGGTCAGATTCCATTGGAACATGAAGGTTCCTCAGACCTTTTCAGTCTATCAAAAATGGGGGATCTGTCTTGTGGCATCCTAGACCAGTAGACTGTTCATTCTTGATTTCTAGTGTTCTGTGGATGGGGGAAATTTTAGCTTTTCATTGTACTCAGGATGAGGCAAAAAAGAGGTGTTGAGAGGTCTCTGATTAACAGCTACAGTGACATGCTATAGATCCAGCTTACAC